CGCCAGTGGCAGCGGTAGCGTGTGGAGGCGGCGGCGGCGGCGAGAGTGAGGAGGAGGAGGAGGCGATGGCGGCGAAATCGCCGGCGGAAGGCCAGGCGGGAGCAGGCGGAATGGAGCCGGGGACGGCGACCATGGCAGCCGTAGCGTGTGGAGGCGGCGGCGGCGGCGAGAGTGAGGAGGAGGAGGAGGAGAACAACGTCTACGAGGTGGAGAAGATCTTGGACATGAAAACGGAAGATGTGAGTGCGGCGGGGGGCGGGCTTCGCAAAGGCAGAGCGGAGCTGGCCTCGCAAGATGCTTTTCCTCGCCCTTCCCGGGGAGGCGAAGCGCCTTCTGCCCTCGGGCAGAGCGCGGCAAGACGGCGAAGGGAGGGAAAGTAGGGGAATTGCGATGAGGGGAGAAAAGGCTTTCCTTTCTTTTCCCGCCCCGCTTCTCTCTCTCTCTGTCCCTAGCACAGTAGCGAAGGAAGTGCAGGGCGTCTTGCAGGTGAGATGGGAACTTGGCCTTCTGGCCCTAAATTCGGAAGGCGGCTTCCTCCCAAGGCAAGGGAGAAAAGTTTGCATGAGAAGCCAAAGGAAGGGGGTGACAAAAGGAGCTCCAGCTCAGTTAGTCTGCCTGTAGAGAAAATTGTCACGAAGAGTCGGACACGACTTAATGACTCAACAACAACAACAAGAGAAAATTGACTAGCCTTGGCCTCGTTTCAAGTCGAAACGAGTTGCGCTCACCGTGGTCGGAGCGCCTTGAACTGCAATGGACGAGCGGCCCGTCTAGCTCCCTCAGCATTAGCCGCTCTTGTCTGGTGCTTCGAACTGAAGGTTTATCAGACCTTCCGGGAGATCCCAGGGAGTTGGGCTGAGACCTCTGGCATGCGGAGCACACGCTCTGCAACCGAGCTGTATTTTTGGGAAGGGTCGGGAATTTGCCAGAGTTATCGGTACCTTTGCCAAATTGTAATGCAGGCAGTCCTCACTTACAAACTGCTTCGTTCAGCAACCGAAATTACAATAGTGCTGAAAAAGTGCTGGTCCTCGAACTTACAGACGTTGCAACGTCCCCCAGTCAACTTGAAACCTTATGAAAAAGAGCTCCCAGTTTCTCTCATCTTTATTTCCTTACATTTGAAAACCAAAGGGATAACCAGGAAACTGC